ATGGTGCGGAAATGGCCCCAGTTCTGAGGGTTGGGGTTGGTGGCCATGGTGGACAACTCGTGGCCATGGTGGACAACTTGTGGCCATGCATATTTGGTGCTGGTGGCCATGGTGGCAACCTGCAGCCACACGTCTGGTGCTGGTGGCCATGGTGGACAACTTGTGGCCACGCCTATTTGGTGCTGGTGGCCACGGTGGCAACCTGCAACCACATGTCTGGTGCTGGTGGCCATGGTGGACAACTTGTGGCCACGCCTATTTGGTGCTGGTGGCTATGGTGGCAACCTGCAACCACACATCTGATGCTGGTGGCCATGCTGGATAACTCATGGCCATGTGTATTTGGTGCTGGTGGCCACGGTGGCAACCTGCAGCCACATGTCTGGTGCTGGCAGGCAACCCGTGTCCAGCTCTGGAAGACATATATTGAGGTCTGGAGGACACGCATGTCCAGATCTGGAGGATACATGTCCAGGTTGTAGAATCATGTCTACAGGACATGTGTCCACCTCTGGAGTGCGCACGTGTCCATGTCTGGAGAACATGTGTCCAGGTCTGAAGGACACACACGTCCAGGTCTGGTGAACACAGCTGTGAATCCACAGCCACACGTGTCCAGGTCTGGAGAACACGTGTCCAGGTCTGAAGGACACATATGTCCAGGTCTGGTGAACACAGCTGGCAATCCACGGCCATGCGTGTCCAGGTCTGAAGGACACATACGTCCAGGTCTGGTGAACACAGCTGGCAATCCACGGCCACACAGGTCCAGGTCTGGAGAACACATATGTCCAGGTCTGAAGGACACATATGTCCAGGTCTGGTGAACACAGCTGGCAATCCACGGCCATGCGTGTCCAGGTCTGAAGGACACATACGTCCAGGTCTGGTGAACACAGCTGGCAATCCATGGCCACACGGGTCCAGGTCTGGAGAACACATGTCCAGGTCTGAAGGACACATACGTCCAGGTCTGGTGAACACAGCTGGCAATCCACAGCCACACGTGTCCAGGTCTGAAGGACACATATGTCCAGGTCTGGTGAACACAGCTGGCAATCCACAGCCACACGTGTCCAGGTCTGAAGGACACATATGTCCAGGTCTGGTGAACACAGCTGGCAATCCACAGCCACACGTGTCCAGGTCTGAAGGACACATTGTCCAGGTCTAGAGGCCACGTATGTCTACAGCAAGAGGACACGCGTGTCCAAGCCTGCAGGGGACACATGTGCAGCTCGGGAAGCCACGGATGGTGACCCACCACCACGTACGTCCAGCCTGGCGGCCACGGCTCACATGTCCCCACCACACGTGTCCACCTCCGGAGGCCACGGCCGG